CGTTAATGGTTCTAGCTGACCAGTCTCATAGGTATAGTTTTGCAGATAAGCAATGACGTTTACCAAGGCACCGATGATTTCCTGATAATCCGGAGTGACTTCGAGGTACATTCAGAACAACAAGGTTCATCAGGACCCAAAGGCAAATTTATACATATATGGACCAAGGAAAATGGAAAATGGGTCATCTATCATGAGGAATTCGACATGAACTAATTTGCACTCCGATCTTTTCTTTATTCCGATTTCCCAGTCCGATTTATTGGAGCAGTACTTTACTCGTAAGCGTTTCCAGATTCTCCTGAAAATCCTTTCAATGATTTTATATAAGATAGAAGCTTGTTGCATGACAATTCTTCAGGAAGGTCACTATGAATGTTATTCAAATAGATCTGAGAAGCTAGTACAATAAAGCTTCTGAAACCCATGTGCTGATGTTCTTCCATGTTTCTTGGTCAAGTCTTTTTGACACTGGCTGCTTTCATAGTCCACGATTTGGCGAGCGACCGATCGCGCGACTGGTCGCTCGCCAAATCGCGGACTATGAACGCAGCCACTCTGTGCTCAGTAGTTATCGCATAGTAATCGTTGCCTGATACCTGGTTACCCAGAGTTCTTATCATTTGTGAATTGTGTACGTCCTTCATGTACTGCCAGAAATAAATTTTTCGCATGCCACTGTTTTAAAGTGATGAATTATTCACGGTTTTCATCCGTTTACCGCTGGAAAATACTGTCATATTTTTTATTTATTTGGTCGAATGACTATCTACTACCTCTTTACTGTACTCCCTTTCGATTTGACTGGAGGGCTAGCCTCCTTTTTTCAATGAAATCTGCTCTTTGAAATGCCGCTATCTTCGGTCCAAATACCACCCTATAGTCTGAGATCCCAGCTGAGATTACTTAACTTACCCAGAAGTTACACGAATAACTGGATCGTCTCTTTTTGAAGGCCCTTCCGAAATTCATCTGTCAGATTCGGTGATTGTCAACATTTAGTGAGTGATGGTATAAATTCCGGCGTAGCGTTTGCATATTCAACTGGTATTCCCCATATCTTAGCCTAACTTCTAGAATAAAAGAGCTGAGAGATACTCTTGGGCTGGTGAGGCATCGACTCGTGCAAAAAGCTTAAATGGTGTAAGAACTGCACACTCAAATAATTCACCCATCCCCGTGCTCCTTCCCTCCCTATTCTTAGGTAGGAAGGATTTTTCTTGGCTAGAAAACCCTCCTGAGCTTCAATATGACCTCTCTACCTTCCCTACTCTGCGCTCTAGCGCTTAATGTTAGAGACAATGGGTGACGAGACGAGAGAGAGATGCCAACTACATTATCACCAACTTTCAAGTAATTTTGAGGGAGCTTCACGATCTTCTTGGTTCTTTCACTGACTCTTTTCTTTCTGTCCGTCATTACTTAGATTCCAAAAAATAATCGTCGTTTCGTTCACTTTTTTACCCTACTTTTATTCTTAGCATGGTACACAGAAGACTTCGTCACCCTGCGTTACGCTTTTTCTACCGAAAACTTTTCTGCCCTCATTCTTGGAAATCCCACGTGAGATGTCACTCTCTTATGACTAGAGTGAAAAAAGAGCTTTTCTAATCTTCCTTCCTCAGTGAAACTAAAAAGTCGTACGAAACATTTTGGCGCTAGAACTTTTCAATTGACCGAAGCCCACATCCCTGCTTATATGGCTGAATATGGTTTTGGGAAGTTTCCTATTCAGATCTCTGTCACTGATCTCTTACAGGTAACACTGTTAGTTTGACTCGAAGCAAGCTCCTCAGTTTCCTTTTTGAAGATAACGGTTACTGCGAACACTCAGCCAACCCACCTATGAAATTGAATCGATCACCGTGCGTGATAGGCAGCCCGTTCTCGATCACCCATGTCGAACCTAAAGATTACTTCGGTGGTTGCTACCGTAGTGACAGCAATTCTAGCATCGTTTTCACTTGCTCTCCTAGATCGCTCCTTTCTAGCCCATTTAGTACAACAGCTATGGGTTGAAATGGGTGTTCTGGGTCACATGGTTGCAAAAGGTTGCCGAGTGGCATAGGATTATCGGTAGAGTTGACCTCCCCGGTCAATCGCTCCATTTGGATGGTTCAATCGAAATCGCTCACTCTCGTAACATCGCATCACCTTCCCTCCATGACCATAATATTGTTTATTTCCTACTCCTTCTTTCTGATTAATTTACTACTCACTCCACTAGAATCCTAACTGAAAGTTGTGAGGCACTTTCGCGGTTGCTTTTCTCATTCAAAAGGAATCTACTTTTTTTCATTACTGAGCACTCTACACGGATCTGTCAATAATCACAAATTGGCTGTAAACTTTAAGAAGCGTTCGAGCAATTTTTCTTCTCTCGAAAGACCCGTGGACCGCTACCGGTCTCCCTTACAAAGGCTTCTACTAAACTTAGCCAACGTGATACCACTGAAACTCCCAGAAACAGTCGGGGTTGTCTTAAGAAATCCGGAACTTTCTCCATCCGCAAAAGAAAATTCGCTTTTTACTTTATAAGACTCTGGTAGAATCAATTAAGAAACCCAGTTTATCTAGTTCTTTTCGACAAAGATGAAAGCCTCAGGCAGAGTTATCTTAAGGTGAAGCACTAGTTCTTAGGCAGGCAATAGGCATGTTCCGGTCTGAATCCAAGAATGATATTTGCCCATGCTAGCCAAGACCTCCATCTCCTCGGGCCCAAGTTTTTGCAGAGGCCACATACGCATACGACTGGCAGGAATGTCACATTCGTTCCGTCTTTCACACTATCTCCCCCATATGTCGGCTCAGGCCGTGGGATAAACAAGCTTGGGATTGCAGCGAAGGCCCATGGATCTCTGGGTGCAGAATGCTGTCCAGAGCTACCCGATGATCGACGGTGTTGATGACCTCCGAGTCGATCGTGTCAATTTAGGCGGCTCGGGGCAAGTCGATTCGTTTGCTCGCTCCTGTATGCATGTAACGTTGTTTAGTTTTTTGTACCTAAGCCTCTTCTTATTTCATTCAAGCTTTTCTCCCTTGAATGTTGCTGGTATAGGAATTTCTAGGGCACTCTATAACTGGACGGTAAAATAACTATCTTCTTATGGGTCTAGTTCGTAGCAATTTTGCGTAAGTTTTCATGCATTTTCCTATCCATCGAATCTCTCTTCATATCCACTTGAAAGTTTTTTGATTCGTTTGCCAATGGAACTGCTCATCACTCACAGTTTGGTTTTTCTCGAAATTTATGGTGTCTTGATGATCTTCAGTTTTTCTAAGTTAGTTTCAGGATAGTGCCTCCGCAACCCGACGGTGCTCTTGCGTGCATGAGAAGTGGTCTTCTTTTGAGTCGAAAAGGATGGAAGCCAGGAGAAACGTGGGTATTATTTCATTCGCCAACCACTTGTAGCGTCCTTTCCTTGTATTAGTCACGGTGACTTCCACTCAGACACATGAGGTGGTTAGAACGGCCGATAAACTGTTGTATTTCAAAATTTTACCTCCTTGCGGCTGAAATCAATGGAGAAATAGAAAAATAAGAAAATCATCAAGTCTTGATGGATGTAGGGGAGGGTGCTTTATTCTCGAATCGATAAATTCAAGAAATAGGAGAATTCACAAATCAATGAATGAATCAATGCATGCATCTGTGCTTCAAGGAAGTTCCCAAATGAAAGTGGTAAACTAAGATGGTCGATGTGGTTGTACGAGAAATACTGTAGTGTCATGTCATAATAATAATGGACGATAGACGACATCTGCAGATAGATGAAGCAGGCCAAAGTTGGTCGATGGACCAGAAGATGATTCCCATATACATACATGCAGTCTTCTTGAATAGGATATCCTTCTCATTATTAGAACTGATTGATCCATCACTGAAACTTTGCATCACGATGCGGGCTCCTTCCCTTGATCCCATCATGGTTGAACGACAGGTGATAAATGAAGCGAGCGAGAAGCAGAGCACCGAGACTCTTCACAATGTTCTGAAATCTGCCCTCAATCCCCTTCTGTCTCCTCAATCCTGCCGCAANGAACCTACAAGGTAACCTCACATTTGTGTTTCATACGTCTTCACCAATATGGCGACATGACGAAGGTGCATGGTGCGTATTAGTGTTGCGACTTTCTGAATCAAGAGCAAAATTTGAAGGTGATGCTCA